TATTAGTTAGGTTGCTTAATAGTTCTGCTAAGTACTCTTTAAAATACCAGAATAGGAAGGATGGAGTAGGTTCAAGTTTATTAGTTTTATCAGTATTGCAGAACTATGAAATATTTTGGGTGCAGTGTATTTTTTACATACAGGTATAATAGAATAGCTTTAGTGTTGTTGTTTATTTAAACTTGAGTATGAACTTACACAAAATGCAGCAAGATATTAAAAAAAGAGTTTTATTAATTAAAAAACACACTATATCGGATTCATATCGGTATCGGCAGATATCCAAATTTATGATATCGGTATTGGCATCGGACATAAAAAAGTGGTATCGTGCCATCTCTAATTTAGACCACTGCTGAGGTAGAAATATTGTCAACCCCATTTTCAAGCTAGGTGAACCTACTATTCTCTACTATTTTCTCTGTGTCCTTTGTGAACGAACCTTTGGTCAGAACAGCGTCGGCTTTGGAGTTTCCCATTTTGGCTGCACTGATAAGATGTGCAGCAGTGATTGGCTCTGAGAGTTTCATATCCATCCCCTCCACCTTCAACAGATCCTCTGTAAAAACAAACAAAAAAACAAACCACATGGATAATGAACATGGATAATGATAAATGGAATGAAGCCACTTGAGACATACAACAAGAAGGGTTATGTTTAATTACTTCCTGACGTCGGTCATTCCCGTGCTGGATTTAAACTGACTTTACAGCTTAAGAAACAGGAACTAGCATTGCAGGATACAGTTTTATCTAAATAATACCAATCTCACCATTTACCAGATTATGTGATGGATGACTGAGTTGCTAAACAAAAACTCAATAAATATATATTTGTTTAAAAAGATTATAGAATACAACATAAAAACATAAGAGTTGAGGTACAATTTTCTCTACCCCATCAAGAAAATACATGCCCCAATTTAAAAACAAACAAACAAACAAAAAAAAAACCCCACCCCGGCCTGCTGTGTAAAATGTAAAGAAAAACAGAATACAACACCTTCCCAAACCCATAAACCCACATTTTACTCAAAACAGAAAATATAAAATCGTATCAAACATTTTAACAGAGTCACTTTAATATTTAATGAAAAATATTTGCTCATTTTGAATTTGATGCCAGCAACGCATCTCAAAAGTTGGGAACTAATTATACTAATATTAACTGGCAACAGGTCAGAAACATGATTGGGGATAAAAGGTTGACCACTCCATCTATCAATGCAGGTTAAATCTCTATCACTCAAAGAAGGAGCCATGTGTTAGCATCTGCTTAAAATTTCCTGGGTAAACACTACTTAGGCTACTTCTGTGCTTACATTGAACTTATGCTGTTTCAGTACTATTGCACTATAATGCTGATTGCTGCTGCTACCACCTAGTGTCAATACATTCACACTCTTGGATAGTCTGTCATCATGACAGCAGCATAAAAGCAACATGGATATGAACCCTGCTCCTGACGACACTGACAAAGTATTTTCATTTCGTTAGAGGCGATCCTGCCAATGCTCTATTAAAAAAAAAAAAAAAAGTTGATGGTGTAAAATTTAGTTGCACTTTCTGTTGCTCTGGTATCGTAAGAAAACTTGTAAAAGATTAGCTACTGGATAAAGATTTATTTTGTGTTTATGTTTTTGTGGAGAGATTTCAATTTTTACATTTTCAAAGGTTTCTAAAGCCAAGCGTTGGTAAGCGCATAGCCAATATCCACTATACAAAAAAAACAAACAAACAAATCGCTCACCATCATGCAGTTTTTTGGCCTCTCTCTGAAGGGCCATCCCAGATGCATAGGCCTCTATACAGCCACGGCTGCCACACATACACTCTGGGCCTTCCAGGGAAACCATGATGTGACCCAGCTCAGCAGCACAGAAGGTACTACCATGGACCAACTCATTGTGATGGATAATTCCTCCTCCAATACCTGCACACAGAGTCAAAATATTTTTTACTTCCTGAGACTTAACCAGACGATGTAATTTACAAAAAGAATAAGGCAGTAAATATGATTTCAGCTGTAAAAATCATCATCGTAGTTTGTTTGAATTCATACAGGTCTCACAGTTATCATTAGTGGTGCAACGGATCAAAAATCTCACGGTTCGGATCGGATAACGGTTTTAAGTCATGGATCGGATCAATTTTCGGATTAGCAAAAAAAGAAAAAAGAAAAAAATTTAACATTTACTTATTGAAGTATTTTTTGCCTGTTTAAAAACATTCAACTCAAGACTCATTCCACGCAATTATTAAAAAAAAAATTATGGTTCAATATAGGGCAGTACAGGGCTTTATATCTACCACTCAATTCAATTCAATTCAATTTTATTTATAAAGCGCTACATCACAACAACAGTCGGCTCAAGGTGCATTATATTGTAAGGTAGACCCTACAATAATACACCATACCACTCATTAAGTCGCACTCCGCTGTGATATAATGAGCTGTCACGGTCACGTAGCTTTCCGTTGCCCTGGAGGTCCACCCATTTGTAGTAGTTAGGGCAACAGAAGATGCCTGGGACAGTTCAGCCACAACTTAAATCTTTTCCTGCTCATACATGCTTGGAACGATCTTGCCACTAAAGTGGACGCGAACGGGATATCATAGTGTGGCTCAAGCACGTTCATCATAGTTTAAACCCTTTGTTTTGCGCAATGGAATACGGCCTCCCGTCTGCAGCTAAACACCCCAATAGCTTTTGTAATAGCTTTAGCCCGATCGGACTGGGCAGCAAAGGGCTGCTTAAATACCGCAAACTCCTCTGCTCCTCCACGTGGACCGCTAGCGCTGGCCATAACTATTGCTTGACAGACCCACCACGCGCACCATACACATACTTTTTTTTTCTTCTTTTTTGAATCTTCGGATCACGTGTGTGCCGAACCGTGGAGTGGGATCGGTTCGGATTACGGATCAACCGTGATCCGCTGCACCACTAGTTATCATGCAAATAGATAAAGATCCTCATCTGAAAAACTTTAAAAAAAAACAAAAACTTCTCACCTGTTCCTGTGATGACTGTGACAAAGTTCTCCAGTCCTTTGCCGTGACCAAACTTCCTCTCTGCCAGTGCAGCACAGTTGCCATCATTGTCAACCCAGACGGGTAGGTGTAAAGCATCTGATATGGGCGTTCTTAGGTCCACAGAAGACCACTCCTGAATCAGCTTTGTGGAGTGTAGGACCACACCATCTTGGGGGTTTACACGCCCACCAGTGGACACTCCTAAAGAGCAGAAGTAAATCTGAAATTGTTGTGCTGGGTTTTTTTCCCCATGTGTAAATGTGTTTTAGTATTAGTGTGTTTTCATACCGACACCAAGTATTCTACAGTTAAGGCCCACGGCATCCCGCATGGCATCATTGCACATCTTTAATATGAGCTCCATTCTGGCCTCGAAAGTCTTTGGATTGGGCTGGCTGTATTTCTTCACTATGGTGCCCTGGAAAAGTTTAAAAAACAAAACAGCAGAACAGACAAAAGCTTTTGAAAGTGAAAATGAAGAAACATTTAAAAAAAACTTTTAAAGTTTAGTGTTCATCCAGCCTACCCTCATGCAGACAATGGCCACTCTGAGGTTGGTCCCTCCCAGGTCGACGGCCAAAGCACTTTGGGTCTCTAGGATATGATCAATGTCCTGGGAAATCGGATCTTTCACAGGAGGGAAGCAGAAGGTCTTTTGGAGAGGCTCGTCCAGGTCAATAGAACGGAGAAACTTGAGAATACGAGGCACTGCGTTGCCATCACCATAAATCTTAGAACTGATTTAAACAAACAAACAAACAAACAAACATATTTGCGTTTTTGCATTATGCTAATATAAACATTTTTTAAAATTTTGTTTTGAGTCCAAATACAGTTCAGTGTAACCCATTGTTACATTATTACCTTCTCCTGATTCTCAAACCTTTTTTTTAATTATGTCACAGACAGTGACTCTGCCATAACCCTTTTTTTTTTTTAATAATTTGGATAAAATTTGCCTTATAGACGAACAGTTTGGTAAAGTAACACAGTTTTCTTCTTTCTAAGACTGCACACAATAATCACAGATGTATATAACATTCATCTGCATGTCTATTGTTGGTTAATGAGCCTGACCTGATTCTGTACAAAACATGTTATGTTAAACATACCCTAGGATATACATTTTGCCATTTCCTGCTACTTCTAATATCTTAAAGGGCTTTAACAAATACAATTCATCAACTGACTCATTTGATAGATATGCAAAAAGTAAGTACTGGCTGGCAGAGGAAAAGCAGGTCACACAACTTGAATGTGACAAACTGATAACGACAAACTGTAATTTCCAACATATTTTTGAAATCCTGTTCAACAGGACTTTAACTGGCACTGTAAGTAAAGTTATTGAAAATATACAGCAGTTCCTTCATTGAAAGAAGGCTTGGCAAATGAAAATACACAGTTAAAAATTTGGTCAAACACCCAGGGGACAAATGAAGATTGTACACTGGCCATACCAGGGGTATCTCTTTCCAAACTGCAGCTCCAGAGCATGGTAGATTTTATTATGAGTGTCGGCATCTCTGACATGTAAAACATTTTCACCTGGGAGAAAAAAAAATGTCCTCAAGTTAATAAGAAAAACAACCTGAGACAAATTTAGCAGAACAATACAGCTTGGTAGGTTGAGGAAAATAACCTTAATGTTTTTGTACTATTTTGTCTTCCAGCAGCCTCAATCCTTTAAATATTCAAGGAAAATTAATTCATGTCCCAGTAAATGATTCTTTCCAGCTATACCACACATACTGACATTATATTACTCAATCATTAACATATACAAAAAAAATAAATAAAACATGAGTCTCAGTGGAGTCTTTTGGACTATGATGACCTGACTGTCTACTAATAGTGCTGGGTGTTTGTCTCCTGGAGATGGGATTGATAGCGTATATTATGGGAAGAGTATGAGAAAGTTCATGATGGGATAATCATTCCCGCTGTAACTTGTTTTCACCTTTTCCTCTTGATATTGCGTGACTTAAAAAAAGAAGAAGAAGAAGAAAACGTTGCGCCTTTGTTTAGTTCCTGTGAAGCTTTGTATGAGATAAGCTCAGGACAATTGACATTCTTGTTACACTTACCTGTTTCTCTGCCTGTTTGTCTTGTTCCCAGGTTAATGACAGGTGTGCCAAAGGCCCCAGCCTCTCGTACCCCGCAGCTGCTGTTTCCAATCATGCAGCCAGCATGTGACACAAGCTGGATGAACTGCTCAAAAGGAATGTGCTTCACTGCCCGGAAGTTAGGGTGTTGCTCAATCCCCTTTCTTCGCATAACACGTACCATCTCCTTACTTCCTGTTTATAGGAGAAATGCTTATGTTATTTTTCTCAACTTCTGTTTGAGTGTCCAAACCTTATTGAAAAGAGGACTTTAAAAACAGTAACCACAGGTGGAGCTAACCGGCATCAATGTTAGGAAAGAGGATGAGAGTCTTCTTGTTGAAGGAAATCAGCGCATCCAGCATCAGCCCATAGATTTTAATAGAGTGCTGGATGTCCGTCGTGACCGGGTGCTGCAATGCTACAATATAGTCACCTTCCTGGACCTTGTCACCTGCAAGAGGCAAATATCACATAAAATACAAACGTAGACTCATTTCCCATTAAATAATTTTGTCCTGTGAATATATTTCTGCATACCCAACCAGCTTTTGATGATATCCATGTAGTCCTCTCTGTGATGAGACAATAGCAGCTTATCATATGAAGGGCAGCCAGCAAGGAGGATACGAGAGTGGTCCTCACACATAGCTATGAGATGCTGCTCTGCCATCCGTGTGCAGCAGGCGTGGTAATGGGCCAGTTTACTGATAGCATGGCGAATTGAGTCATCAATTGTACCACTAACCTGGAACAAGCAGCACAGGATAGAGTTAAAAATAATAAAAATAATGATATAACTACCCCCATCCTCCAGTAGCTAGTGCCCCCTATGTTATAAATTCTAGGTGACTCCCTTCTTTTGTTATCACATTAACAAGATTTTCAGAAAACTTGACCTCTGAACTTAATCTCAAGGTCAATGTCACCAAAATTCAAACTCCTCTGGCATGTTTTTGAAGATGCACCTATTGTATGAATTAGAAAACTCTAGGTGACAACTTTTGAGATACTGTTATGACATAGTTGGGTGTCCAAGCTGTCCACCTGCCCAGCCCATCAGCCTTTTACAGCTGAGGGGTAAAACAAAAAGAAGAAGAAAAGATTCTGCACTGGCAGAATGCATAAAAAAATTTAAGTACTTATGATGCAATATTGCCCCCATATTTTAATTTTCTTTTCATTGTGTGCTGCTTTCAAGAAATGTAATTGCCTCTAATGAAGGAGAAACTGTTCAACTGGGTTTCCTCACCTCTCCTCCCTCCAGGTGAAGTATTCTAATATTCATTAATGCTGCAGCAGTTGCCAAAGCGAGAGCATCGAAACGGTCACCGTGTACGACCAGGATGTCAGGTTTCAGTCTCTGTATAACATCAGGGAGTTTTACAAGTGCCAGCCCAACACTTTCCACCATGGCAGCCTCGTCCTCTCCTCTCACAATAGTGTGGAGCTTCGAGCCAATGTCAAAGTCGTCCTGCTCAATCATCCGAAAGGTGTTCCTGCAAAAACAAAACATTTCGGTAAGTTGCAAACAGCACAATGTATACTGAAAGTTCCAAATCATGGGATGGCAACAAAAGGTTTAATTTTTGCAATGTTTTTGAGATGCAATAAGAAAAAAAAAAGACTGGAAGCTTATTTTTGGAACTTGGCAATGTGAGATTCAAATTTTAAATGCTGACCAAGTTATCTGAGTTATCTTTTGCACACAAATATTGAGTGAGTAAGGAAAATATGACATGTCTCTATGAATATTCTAGGCTTATATACTCTGTCTTGCTTAAAAACATGCAGACCATTGTTATACTGTCTGTGCAGTTGTTTGACTCCTTCACAAGTGTTCAAATCCGATCCGTTACACACCAAAACTGGATAAATATCACAAATCTCTCAAATCTCAAGCTCACTATTGATATCAATGTTTTTTTGCCGTCACTCCACAACTGTAATCTTTTCCTCAGCAACCAAACCCCATGAGTTGCTATGTAATTTTACTCCTAGTAAATCAGTTATGTGGTTTGGATGCACTGGTGTCCTTCAACTCTAGAAAGTTCATTTATTTTACAGGTCACCGAGCAAACAAAATGTTGTTGGCTATTTTGTGAGCATCTTCTGAAGGTCCACAAGTGAAAAAGAAAAGAAAAAGTGGCATTTGCAAAGGAAAAAAGTTGGGTCGTCTTACCCGTAGTCATCAATGAGATGTGAACCAAGCACCACAACTTCCAGTTCAAAGTCTTCTGGGTGGGATTTGATCCCAGACATGATGGGGGCCAGCTTGGAATAATCTGCTCTGTTGCATGTTGCCACACACACCCTCAGTTTCCTCTTACACTAAACCAGAAAACAGTGTAACCACCACACGCACACAAAGACACACACAGACACACACAGACAGTTTTTGTCATTTTAATTTAGTATGCAAAACAAAGAAATACGTTCCTCTCAGTTATTTCACTGAGGTCTGAAGGAATATTATCATCTCCACACATCCTTGAATTTCAACTATATACTACATATGCATCTGCTTCACAACAACTATATACATTTTTTTAATTAAGCCAAAACATAAAATCATACCTGATTTGACTCTCCCATCTTTTCCATTGATTTCTTCTCTTTGTTCCTTTGCATTCTCAGAAAATACTGCTCCTGGAGAAAAAATAAAAATGCTGTAGGTAAGATCAAAATAAGAAAATGTAAAACATAATCTTATACACAATTTTCTTTATACACAACACCCACAGATCATACTCACTTGGGCCTTCCAAATATTCAGAGGCTGAAGCATGAAAATAAACAAAACTACACTAAAAATGATTCATATTTAACATGAAGAACACACACAAACTCATTCTTTACCAGACAGAAAACATGCTCTACAACAGTGCTTTACTTTACAAGGCCAAAGTGACGCACCTAGTAATGTGACATAAGAAAACCTGTAGCACCAGCCATGCAGCTAATAACACTGTCAGCTTAACAGAAACACAGAAAGACGTATACAAGAACTTTGGATTGGCAAAGACATCATTTACAGTACTTTTTAAATGTAAACTGTCATACTGTCTTCTGTGAGAAAAAAAATCTATTGCTCCTCTTCCGTTCACCCCTTATTCTGAATAAATACCAGATCCTGCAAAATGTCATTTTAAAGGATTTATAGCTCCTCCAACAGCTGAAATATAATGTGCTGAATTCCTCATTGATGATAGCTTTGTTTATTCACTAGACAATATTGCTTCCATTTGCTGCAAGGAAGAAACCATATCAGTTGTGTTTTACCAGCCTAAGTGTCTATATATCTAGGCAAATGAGGTATATCACTAATGCTGGTAACATATAATATTCAAGGTTCAAGGTTCTTTATTTGTCACATGCATAGTTATACAAGTATAAC